CATCAGACTAGAGGTTAAAAATGCGAAGAAAAATTATGCATTACGTTGCAGTAGCACCAGCCTCAACGTTACTTTCTACGCTATCGAAGTGGCGCGACGCAGGAAGTCGTCCAAAATATAGCCTGCAGATGGAGCCTTCTGGCCAGACAGACACGCTGTTTATCGCTTTAAACTACTTCTTTGTCACCGAGAATGTGAAAAGACGCCTAGTAATGGCCTGTTCGTCTGGGGCACGCCGCACCCGTCCAGTGCAGTAAAGTCTTTCACTTTAGTACACGAAAGACTGGCGCGGAGAGAAGGAAGCTCCCCTCCCCCCTCTAGCCTTCCGTGTACCACGAACCGCGCTGCACCGGTGCGATGCGTTCCCAGAAGAATTGGCCATAAGGAAGTTTCGTTTTCAATTTCGTGCATACAAAAGTTTTACCTTGCAAAACAGCAGCGACCAAATCCTCAAAGTCTTTCGTACTTGTTTACAGGGACAGTCTTAACACAAAGAGGGCACTTTTCTGTAGAGCACGGTGAATCACGGCTATCTTTGATGTTTTCGAAGTTCCGACAGAGGGCTTTACGGGCTTACGGCGGGTGACAAAAGTGAAGCCGTCACCATTCAGGGTGCCTCGCGGAACGGAGTCTCACTGGGCTGTAGACGCTGCAGGTGGAAGCGGCCCAGTTGGTCCGATGGTATTCATCGATGTGTCAGCTGGCAACGCATTTCGAGGTCTCGGTAGGCTCTGCTGCCGGGAACTCAAGGTGGGAAACTCTGCAGTGGCACCGGCGTAGGACAACGGATGAGAACCGTCAGTTCTGTCTGAAATATTCGTGGAGCGTTGACTCACGAACAAAGAAACGATGTCGTTGAGACGACAAACCTCTAGACGTAGCGAGACGTTTTCCGCTTCTAGTCGTGCGAACTTGTCAACGAGCTCTTCCAGTACCATTTGAATTCTTTCTTTGATGTCAATGAACCTACAGCACACGGAACGTCATCGGTGTCCGTTGCCGTGTCCACCGTAGATTCCGTGGTTGAGATTCTAGGCGTGGGAACTTCGTCGTCGTCGTAGTTTTTTCGCTTGACGCATTTCGCACACTTATACTGGCTCACCCCATCATGCATAAGTAGGTCGTAGTCGTCATTGACGATATTCAATAGCTTGCAGTGAAAGCGGGTTAAACACACGCATGCAAACAATCTGTTGCTGCTTATAGTGAAATCCCGTGGAGCAGCTGACACATGTGTCCTTCTGCTTCGCCATTCGCTAATAACTTCTGCTAACAACTTCTTTTTGCTAATTTGCTAATAACAACTAGGGGGAAGTGTTTGATTTCTAAGTTAGAAAGCGAACTTTGAAAGCTAGAAACGAACAAGTATTTTACAGGGAATTAAACCTCCATGCGAATCTAACGACCCTCCCTGTGGCGCTATAGTTCTGTCGCTAACGTTGGCTTATATGTAGAGTTTCGTTGTTGTTTTTTCGGACAAACCCAATAAAAAAATTTGGAAAACTCTCGCTGGTAAATTTTCTGTCATTTCGGATATTTCTAAAAACTCCGAATTTCCTAGTCACAACGGCAAAATAAAAGAAAAAAGGACATCGTTTTGCAAATAAATTTTATGAAAGCACATTTTCAGTGGTCTTGAGGAGATGCTACTACTGCGTCCTTTGAAATCTCGGACTACTGAAAATGGGGGTTTCATTCTTAGCTCGTCAAGGTGCGTTCAGAAAAACGGGTCATAGCACCACTGAGTCACGACAAATGCCATTGTTTAGGTTACCAATTTGGACCACAGTATTCGTGCTTTTTTAGAGAAAGGTAGTGTTTGTTTTATGCCTTTTAATTATAGTAAAATCTGTGCGCGGAGAAACTGAGGGAGAAGAGGAGACCAGAGGGGATGTCAGAACGCCGAGCTCTGATTGGAAGGATTACGGGGTGGACCTAAAGCTACCTGCCTTTGTCCCCCCTGCACTCGTTGAACGCGTTAGAACTCGAAACGGACGTCGGTGCCGCAACTCTCAAGCGTTTCGAGTAGCGCCTGCGTTTTTCTTGCCGCGCGCCGCATGTGCAGTGTTCTGTTTGGACAGCCCACGATACATTTATATTCTGCCACAAAATCATGCTCTTGCCTGTACCCACGCGCAGAGAGTGTAGTCACGTGATGAAAGGGAGCTCCCACCGAACTATGAGCTTGGGGACGAACGGAGTATAGCCAACGAAGATGATATTGAAAACCGGGTTTTGCAACCAGAATATTTTGTTTTTGTGTTTAGCGTTTTCTCGGTGGAAAGTGTCACATCTAGGAACCTGACCCACTTCAAGATTCACGAAGGAAAGAAATCATACCGCTCCAGCGGCACTTTAAGGTCACGATCTCGCGGAGCCCAGCTTCAGTATGAAGACGAGTAAAAATATTGTAACTCTCTTTCGCCTATCAAAACAAAGTAGCCTGGTCGAAAAGGTTATTAAACGAGATATGAATACGTTTGACAGTTTCTCGTAAAAATGATATATACCAAAAAATGCGGCATTTAATTATTTTTATGAACGCTTCATATTAAGTAGACACAGTCGTGCTCATACAAGAAAGGAAAACGGCGAATAAGGCGAGGAGAGCCGAGGCTAAAAACGGGTCGCTTTCTGCGGTGCTTCACAGCAGACTTTGTTGAGATGCGATAACATTTTAATGTTTTTTTAATGAAAGCAATATTTCCCTGATTAAATTCAGACGAACTTCGTTCCCTCGGTAAGCCTTTCGCCGTAACAGAGCGAACCAACCTTGCATGTCCTTGCCTAGCCAAATGCTGTTCTCTTTTTTTTTTTTTTTTTCTCGTTTTTCGGCGTGTAATCGGCATGACGAACACGAGCCTCGGTAGGCCACCGTTTCTGCTCAGAAATGTGCTCTTCAGTCCACTCCTTTTTCTTGATAGGCGTAGAGACGACGAGCAGAACACTTTCAGCAAGCATACGTCTTTATCATAGGAAGAATGAATGGAGAGATGGTATCGGCTATCCCCTTTGTATAGGTCAGTAGCTTGCGCCACCTAGATTAAAGACGTTGCTCCTTCTGTAAATACAAAACCTGAGAGTATAAAACAGAGAGGACAAGGACGGGAACAGGACATCTTTCTTTTATTGAAAGATGTCCTGTTCCCGTCCTTGTCCTTTCTGTTTTATACTTTCAAGTTTTGTATCTATTAACCAGCACGCTCGTTTTCAATTGTTCTGTAAATAGCGGTGACTTACTCTCCGAAAGTTTTGCGAGAAAGCAGGCGCACTGGGATTTCTAAAAGTCTATGGGCGCCGCTATATTCGAACAACAAAAAAATGTCAAATGCCAATCACAGCTACCGGAATGATTCATATTTGACGGCGGTAATAGGGGAACCCGTCCGAGCAACCCAAGCTTCAGTACGAATAGAGATCAAGGGGAGCCGAACACTAATCATCGCGACATCGTCAAGGCGCTTCCGAATCTGCAAATAATGTCCAGAGACCACTCAGTAAAATTGGTGTTTCATATTGTGATAATTTGGCACACTTGCCACACTTTCGGGTGAAAATACTACCGATGCAGCCCGACAAATAATTGTCAGGTTGCTCCGCTGGCGGACTTTTTGAGAAACTGTCGTCCACAAATATTCTGGTCGACATGATTGCGTGTTGCTATCCGCCAGTTGTTTAAACAGGAAAGTTAGAAGCTGAGCGATGGGGCTTCCATGTCTATTTCCTCACCAACTTGTTTCTAAAATTGACCTTTCAATCGCGCAACTGTAATAAGGACTGGAGATCGATCGAAGGGTTTAGTTACGGTAATCGAGCGACCTGTTGATTTTCGCGAGTATAATTTGCTTTTTCGTTGGGGAGCAGAAAGCTGGCTTAATAAGAGTGAAACTGGCGTGGAAATTACAGCCGCCAGACAGAGGTTCTCACACAGTTGTTTGGAGGAAAAGAAACGACGCAAACGACACATACCGCCAGAACACTTTAGGCCGAGTTCCCAGTAAGTATGTGCCAGCGGCAGATGTTTGGCTGTAAACGCGTTCAAGTAAATGAGAGGCATCAAGTTGGCTAATGCCCCAACAGAGCTGAACTAGATGTCGACCCCCCCCCCCCTCTCCCAAACCGAACCCCCTTTTTTTTTCCCGCGTTCTTTTTATGTGGGACTTTTCATTCGCCTTTTTTGATGACTAGTAGAGGACAAAATGACCCAAGAGGGTTCTAGTCGTGTGAGTGTTGTTGGAGAAATAGCTAAGACGAGATAAGTCGCCTGACCCAGTGGAGGCGTCGCTAGTTTTTGTTCCTTGGAGCTGTGTTTATGGTGTCTGGAGCTGACACGTTACGTTTACTGGGCTGGTCTGATCGTTAACAGCGGAAAACGAATAGGAAATAAACAAAGGAAAACATTATTGAACATGGTATACCTTATGTACGCTTGTGCTGGCAGTGTAGTGCAAATGGTAGTGATAGGACCAATCAACCCTCGTATTAGCACCGCCTGACAGCGCTCTTCACTTCTTTATCCCCTTTCATTTAATCACAAGCCTGTGTTGGAGTAGAAATCACCTGGCAGCAGAATGTTCAGGAACCGCCGTTAAGAAAAAAAAACAAAAAAAACACAGAAATAAGAAGGAGCATGCAGGAGAGCGGGTGAAGTAGCAGCATCATAAAAACGCGAAAGCTAGAAAAAACCAAAAGCTTGGATTTTTTCTAGACTTTGAACGAGTAATCTTTTTAGTATGACTTCACAGTATACGTTCTAAAGAGATACACGCACCCACTTTCGGACAGAATATGCGGACAGTCAGTCAATCACCGCGACCAATGAAAGGAGCTCGACAAACTATAGGGACCCAATAACGTTTCCATCAAAACCTAACGTCCACACCATGAGCACTTCGTCTGAAAGAAAAGAAAACAACGAATGAAAGTTTGCAGGGCCCCGAGCAGGCGGATCTCATCGGAGCGCAAACCCCGGGGCCGAAGAGCCAAGCCCGGGGCATGCCATGGGTTGCAGCACTTCGCGAGAGCCCACACAGCCCCCAGCCGCCGCTGCGAGCGCCCACCTCCAGGAGCGCCTCGAACAGCACGAAGGTGACGCCCCATGACGTGGTTTTCATTAGCAGCTAACGCCCCACTGTTGGAGACGGTTGATACAAGCAGTTGCTCTAGCTTTTCCAGGTTCTACATAGAGTAACTGAAGATGGATGGATGGATACGGCTGAACCCGTTTAATTGGGTGGCGGATCGCGCCACCTAGTCAAAGCTTTTAATTTTAACAGTTAAGTAATCTCCAGTTTACCAAAAACAAACCCAGTAGGGTTAAGCCTTTAAACAGCATATTTCTAAGTTCGCAATTAATTGAGCATAGAGAAGAATTCCCTATCGCTGCTAAGCACGAGTCTTTAACATTCTCCACAACCAAAAGTTACAATCCGTGTGGCGGTAGTGCTTCTTCTCAACCTGGTGCGCGCACTTCCCGCTCTACGAAATAAATGGTTAAAGATGAAAAAAAATGTTATTCTTCCCGTGACTTGTGGAGCCAATCTTATGGCCTGTGCTCGGTGGTCTCCACTTTCCCAATGGATGTTTACGAAAAATCCTATGGTCAGCTATCAGCGTATATGGCACTCTATGGTCAGCCAAAAGAAACCATAAAACACGCTAGAGCCACGTGCAGAATAATCCACGTCTTCCAAGCTATTGACTCTTAACCCTTCAGATTTCTATAGGCGCTTATAGAATAATGTTTCCAGGAAGATATATTGACTTGCGACAGTTGAATCTCATTTTGCAAGCTATAGAAGAAAAAAAAAGTATATCCTTAATGCTATAGATCCGCGACTATTTAGTGAGCTTTGACCGGCTGTGGAGTATGTCCCTAAATATATAGACTCACAATAATTTAATTTTTCTTAGCTGACCCAATCGTGTTTTATGTCACCAAAGCTATAGGACACTGACCTTTCAATGTGCTTTAGCCGACTATTCGCGACTCCAGCGACCTATAGGGGGCGCCACCACCAAACAAACATGGCGGCTGAGTCCAGGTCGCGTCGGCACGGCCGGGCCACCTGAACAGGTGGCGCGTTCAATTTAACAGATTTTCTTTTGTTTAATGCCTAAGTTTATAGGTATTTGAACTGAGACGGTTAAGCGTAGCCGGTGCACATAAACTTGCAGAGCATAGTTTTGTTTTCCCGGTGTTTTTTGTTCTTTTCATGTCAACTTTCGTTTTGGAGATCTCGTTCAAAACCGAAACTATGGGCTCTGGAGAGACGGTAATATACTAATCAGTTTTGATCATCTAAGGAAAGCGGCAATGACTGCAGAATTCTTCCACCGACAGTAATTTTCAGCCAAGTCGCATGCCTCGACCATGCGACTTATCTGTCCGCGAAATCGAGCTTTTGTGCGTACCCGCGTTTAAGAAACAGCTTCAGTTGTCTGCTCGGTCAACAACACAGCCTGCAGGAAAATTACGAAAATTAAGGAAGCGCTTCTTAAGCGAAGGAGCCTGTTAACCCGCCGGCACCCCACTAAGCAGCTGATACTCGTATTTCAATTCAGGTTTTAGTACCAATCGAGAAGTCATTTTGACGAGCAGGTTATGTATCGTATGACGTACTATGTCCCACTAAAGCGATATTAGTATATTCTTCGGGTTGAAATATGAGCTTAGTTAACTAGCTATTAGGTGAACTGCTGAATAAAAGTATGTTTGACAGACAGAGATATACTAAGTTAAACTTTGTCACATGGTTCTATTCCGGTAGCATGGAGACGAACCCGGACAAACTGAAGAGAGTCTTCATTAGAGATTCACGCAGAACCTCTCTGCATTAAACTTGACTTCAAATCCTGAACGGATAAAATAAGAATTTTTGTGGCCGGTCAACCTGAGCAATGTAAACGTATATTGCTGCTGGCTTAATTCGACGGGGGTATAATAGAAATATTGGAGGCGCGATAGATCATAATGCCGTGACAGCTTCTAACGTTGCGAGACGCGTCCCCCACCTTTTGAAAACAGATAATTTCCCTCATTCGTCATTTGCAGCGAGCAGGCTTTCCTGAATCAAGTAATTGCGAAATCAGCCCAACTCCTTCAGAGTGGTCCAGAGGCTTTTTTCGGCGAAAAGCAGCCAAGGTGAATAGCCAACGCACTGACCGAAGTGGTTGGCTCAAACTTGAAGTTAATCGAACACAACCAAACTCAAGAAAAGCAGCTATCGAACCTTCCCATTCACTTGACTACAACATTGGTGTTCCCTCCCGTGAAATGCCTCGTCTGTCGTCCTCCCACTGTTCTACATCCTTATAAAGAAACCCCTTATCAGTTACCAAGTAGTCGTCACTTTGAATATGATTCGAGACAGACAAGACATCAAAACGTTTTTCCGCGATTCCTCCCCATCCAAGAAATCGAAAACACGTGATGGAAGGAAACAGTCTACTGAGGCTTCACCACACTAATGAACACTCAGGCAAACTTAAGAAATTTTCGGACCTTCGTGAAATTACACTGTTCACCATCGCGCCGACAACACGTGTCCGCGAAAGCCACCAGAGACGCGGAGGGGCGCGGAGCGACCTGGACCGGCTGGTTCCCGATTTTCCCGCTTGATGGCGTCCGTTTTGCTGGAGTCGCGAATAGAGAGAGATATACGTCTCTCAAGATATAGACTCGCGACCATTCAGTTTTTTCAGCCGGCTCAATGGTGTTTTATGTCGATCAGGCTATAGACCCGCAACCTTCTTCTTAGCAATGCAGAGGCAGGAAAGCAGAAGAGAGTCATTCATAAACTCGCTCGGGGCGCTAATCTTTTCTTTTTTTTTTTTAACCGAGGTTACACCGCTAATACATCATAGAAAAACAGTCTGTATAGAGATTCGAACGCGATTCACCGCGAGATCCCTGCTTCGAATGCCGCATGGCAATGAGTTCAAGGAGAAACTTGGCACACGGCATTCGAACCACAGATATTGCAGTTACTCGTGTTTGCAGGCTGCATTTTGTACGATGTATGAGTAGTGTGACCCAGGCTTTAGTCAGCTTAAAGGGGCGTACGTCGCCGGTGCTATATAACCGCGATCACAAAAGCGTCCTAAGCTGCCTATAGACCTATATGTAGCAGTTTTTCCGGCAGCTCTCCCTTCGCATAGACTTACCTCGGCGTTGATCTAACCTCAATTTTCTGCTTTTAGGTATAATTATCCCACTTTATCTCTTCCAGTGTATTTTTGTTACTTGTTAATACTAGTAATTCGTGGCGTTAACGTCATCTACTCTGCCCGTGTCGCTGCCATGTTTGTTACCCGTTAATATGCATTTCTCTCTGCGTGCTGTATTTTTTTTTTTATTCAATGTTTTTGTGTATATTTTGTCCTTCTGGAAGCGGGCGTTAAAGGGATGCTTAACCGAAATCTGGATTCCACAAAACGCGGCGGCAAAAGCGTGCAACGGGATGCTAAAAACACCACAACATCACTTATACAACGATATCTAGAACGGATGACCGTATTTTTCAAAAAAAAAAAAAAAAAGGAGGCGCATTTGACAGATATGTTCACGTCTTGTTTCTCCGAGGAGGAGAGGAAACGGCCTCGCGTCTTCTCCGCCTCGCCGCCTTGAGGGGGCGAAGTGAAGAGAGTATAGGAAACAAGATATCTTGACGTCACGAGCCTCGTCGGCCTCGTTCAATCTCGACCTCTTTTTCCAAAAAATACGGCCGTCCGTCCGAGATATTGCCTTACGAGTAGTGTCGTAGGGATTGTAGCGTCCCGCCTACATCTCCTGCATTGTTTTTATAAATTTCAAATTTCGGTTCACCATGCCTTTAACGAACATAAAGCCGCTACTGGGCGTTTTCAGATAAGATCGAACAGCCATGTCCGGTGACAATTTTTAATTTTGATGAAAAAAATATTTTCCTGGCTTCATGCCAAGGAGAACAAAAACAGTCCTTGTTTTGAGAAAAAAAAAACTGTCTTTGCGAAAACAAAATTGTAAGCACCCTCCCTCCTTTCAGTCACGTGCGCGTTTTGGGTATCGCGAGATGTTGGCACTTCGGGCGGCTTCCCCCCAAAAAAGCTGTTCTGGCTACGGGTCTAGAAATATTTACTGGCACATTAGGCATAAGAAGGATTGATTAAAAGTATAAAATACCGAGTATTAGGGTCAATATTTTGAGAAACAAAATCGCAAATACGGCACATTGAGCAATAACGCTCTGGAATAAAGTTTTTTTTTTTTCCTCCGTATCTAAAAAAGCTAAGGCCTTCAAACTCCGCCAGTGTGTTGTCCTCTATATAGTTCATCTTTGTTTGAAATATTGTTTGCCTGGTTAGCGGGAGAAATTTACAAGAATTGCTCACACAGGGGCATTTTTTATTTTATTATTTATTTAAGAATACTATCAGCCTTCACTTGAAGGCTATTACAGGAGAGGTAACGACAATATATATACAGCCATATGAAAAATTTGAACTCTATACATATGTACATAATGGAAGAAGACTGTTATACAATTTTTAATTGAAGACAACATGAACATATCGCTACACGTTGTAAAAAGAAGAGAAAAAGAAAAAGGAAAAACGCCCCTTTTTATTTATTGCTGGATAAATGTATTTTCTAAAAAAGACTCAAATTGGGACACATTTGCAAAGTTAACAACATAATCTGGGAGTTGGTTCCACTGTTCAATTGTTTGCACAAAGAATGAATATTTAAAAACGTCTGTCCTACTATTATACGGTTGGATGGGTTTATTGTAATTTAATCTGCGCGATCGCTTATGTGTCTCTTCTAAATATAGTTCAGGTTCTATGTCTAAGTTCTTGTTATACAGGGCAAATAAGAATTTTAGCCGCGCTATTCTCCGTCTAGTTTAATCTAATGATTGAAGTTCACACTGGCTAAGCATTTCAGTCAGAGAGTCTGTTCGTTTGTATTTATTAAGAATGAAACGTGCAGCCTGCCTTTGAATTTTTTTCTAGTTTATTGATGTCTAGTTTTTTGTTTGGACTCCATACAACGCTGGCGTACTCTAAGATAGGACGGATCATCATCTTAGAAGCTGTCATTTTGGCATTACTAATTGCACTTTTTAACTTTCATTTAAGGAAGCACAAACTTCCACAGGCAGAGGAGTAGACATTTTCTATATGGGTTCGCCATTGCAAATCTTGTGAGATCACCACACCAAGGTACTTAAAACTGTTTACGATACTCAAATTAACATTGCCTATATTATAACAAAATTTCAAAACGCTTTTCTTGTTCGTTATATGGATATTGGTCGACTTAAGAAATTTTATTTGCATTTGCCAGTCCTCACACCATTGCCTTAAATTTTCCAGGTTCCTATTCAGGGCCGGCGATATACTCCCAAAACCAAACTTTTCCAAATTTGATAAATATTAACCCCGTTAAAATAAACTTTTTCACAGTATTCGCCGAAAATGCGACGCCACCTAGCGACAAACGCGTGACCTTTTGAAACTGGGAGCTACTGCCGTTTGAAATGAGCAGCGAAAAGTTCCGCGTCCTGGCAGCAAAAATGTGCAACAGAGGAATAGAAAATTTCATGTACACCGTTGGAGTCCTGAATAGAAGAAGCGCGATGCGTGAGTGATCGCTCAATCGAGGCCCTTGTGCTTGCAGGCGGCATCAACTGTATGGCCCTCAGCGAAGACAACTCCCTGCTTGTGTCAGGAAGCGAGGACGGCCGCGTGCTCCTGTGGAGCACCCAGTCTTCACCGATCGAGCTGCTGGGCACGCTGCGCGGGCACTCGAGCTACGTGACCCACTGCGTGGTACACGGCAACTACGTGGTGACAGGCTCGGCCGACGGGACGCTCAAGAAGTGGTCCATCGTGGACGCCAAGTGCGTGCACACATTCGAGGGACATGGCGCCCGTGTCAACCGGGTCGCCTGCACCGCCGACCTCATTCTCAGCACGTCGCACGACAAGACGGCGGCTGCGTGGCGCTTCAACGCGGACCTCGAGCTACAGGTCAGGTTGCTCCTTTCTGTTGGGGCGGAGGCTCGGAGACCGGACATTGGACCGCGCGAGCTACCCCATGATTTCTTCGATGTGTGCTTTCTGGTCTTGAGATGGACCCCAAACGACAGCATTATCATACTAATTAGCATCAATCTTGCGGTCCGTTTGCCTCGCACATGTAATGACAAGGTTTAGGGAACACGTATCTATATTTAATCAGAGGTGCACGGACACCTGTCAACAAGCCCAAACCTGACTGTAAATCTTTGCTCTCAGCCACCGTCCACCCTTCTCGCGCGTTATCAAAGCAGCGCACGCGAGTTGCTCGCGGCATGGCACTCTGGGGCATTATGCGGTTCAAAACAAATCAGGTCCGGGCCTCGGGCAACCTAGCCGGCAAGGAATAGCAGTGCCACCAGGGCGCCCGAAACGTACGCTACCAAAATATTTATTAGAATCATTATAAGCATCACCTGGGCGCCTTCATGATTTGAAGGAAACGTGCCGGTCTACGGATCTCCTGGTGACAGGGTCGACTCTATCTTAAGGTTCCAGCAATGTCACAGAATCCTATTGCGGTCAAAGTGCCACGTAACGGAGATTTAGGCGGATCATTCAGGATGCTCAAATTATACGGATAATCCTCATTCCTCCGCTGGGGCGGGTGGTCTATATGTCTTTTGTTGGCTGGGCACGTCATCTTGCAAATTTTAGTTTTCTTTCATTATTAAACGCCACATTCTCAGCTCTATCATTACCACAATAATATGTTAGTACTATTCTTAAAGCCGCAGTCCCACTGCCAACAGATCATACAAATGTCAATCCGCAGTCATTGTCTATTGCGTGTCTATGACGGTTTTGTCACACTGGACATGACAAACTTTCTGTTCGAAGCATGTATGAAGCTATAACATGCTTCCAACATGCCTGAGGCGTATCTCCAGGTAATCATGTCATCATGTCTGCAGCGAACATCGTATCTTTTGTATGACATATGACATCTCTGATAGCGGCGGAAGGCGGTGAGCGCAGCCCGCACGTGAGCAGTACCACTCTCCGACTCTAGATTTTCCTGTCAACCGCGAATATGAACGACCCATGCGGGTCACAACATAGGGCCGTGGAAATAAAACGCGACCTACAAATCGCCACAATCCTGAAGTCCCCACGTTTGACTGCGTCGCCTGCGCTCGCAGGAGCTGGAAGAGCGCCGACTGTTGCGCCAGGTGGCAAGCTGCAACAAAAGCGCTGTTAGTGGGCCCAAGGAACGAGGAAGCCTCGGCAGCAACGGCGAGAACGGAGAAGGCAACTCCTCGTCGTACGACGGCACGTCGGGAGACGACGACTCTGACAGCGAGTCAGACTCCACGTCCGACCGGATCACTGTCTTTCGAGTGAGCCGCTGTTCACATCGTTTAGGCCTTACGCTTACGGGTTCGTGTGTGGCGCACCGTTCGGCCTACTGGTGGAGATCCATTGTCCTTGGTGCATCTTGAGCCCGGGTGTCACTGCCGCTGACGGCAGCGCTGACTCAAGTGCTCACGTCAGCGACAGCTTAACTGCAATTGCAGACCATTCTTTTTGACATAAACAAGATTTAGCGCAAAATATCCATTGGCGGATTCTTCGAGAATGCGTCGGCATCACCCTTGGAAACGCCACACACGTGCCCCTTTGGGAAACGCCAACGCTGACCCCTTCACTTTTTTTTTTGCCTTTCTCTTGCTCCATCTATTTTTCGCTGCCTCTTTTTGGCCTCGTTACGGGGTCAGTGTTAGCGTTTCCCAAGGGGCAACATCTGTGGCGTTTCCCAAGGGTCATGCTAACGGATTCCCCAGGTATCCACCAATGGATCTTCCTGTTTGTTTCTTTTTGGACCCCTCTTTTGTACTTTTCCTGTTAGAGTACGTCGACGCCCTTGGATACGGTCATCTATATCACTCGTGGGAAGAACCACATCGATTCTACTCGTGGAAGGAACCGCATCCATCGTTTAACTATACAGATACATCACAGCCCACGCACCTCTACTACGAAAGTCCAGAGCGAAGAAAAACCGCCGACTGCACAGCGGCAACTGAGCTCGCCCGCATTCCGCCGCGCCCCGGCGCAACATCCCCTAGAAAGCAAAGCCGAATAAGTGATGAACGAGTTGGCGTCACCAGAAAAAGCCAATGCTAGACAGGGATTGGACACGACGATTGCGTCAACGTTCGGCTCAAGCTTGACTCGAAGCCGAGCGCTGACACAGCACTCGTTTCCAATCTGCAATCCAATCTGTGCCTAGCGTTAGCCTTCTCTGATTAAGCATTTCAATCGGCACTTGAGCTTTGTTATCTAGGAGGTGATGCGTGGCGCCACCTTCACTCTGGCTCCGCGCCAGCGGTGCGCCTGACTTGGTCGAAAACGAAACGGTTCGTTTGAGTTTGACAGCGCCGGATACAGAGGGAGAGGTCGACACGTGCTCACGTCAGCGCTTCGGACCAAGGGAAGCGTCGCACGCGACAACTAACAACTTAACAAGCGTACATCACCACCGGGTTTTCGTCAAAACAAGCGTCAAAACAAGCGTTCTGATGCGAGCGCATTAGGAAAAAATGCAGCCACTGAAACGCAGCCTGACGTTGTTACTGCGGTATACTGTAGCGATCCTCTGTGCTCTGAAACGCCTAAAAACGCACACGAACGCAGAATTTGATATTTTTGTTGTTGTCTCTAGAATGACTAGTGGCATCTCGAAACGTCAAGCGAAAGCCCTTGCTACGCATTTATTTGTTTATTTATTGTTGCTCAAAGACATTCTTTTGGACGTATTGCATGAGCGAGGATTAGGAAAGAAAATCATACAAGGACAGAACACATATAAAACTTTGGGTTTAAAAAAAAATGAACAAACAATAAAAAACAATATCAGAGGTGCCCTTGATCGGCCCAAGCCATGTGAACCTTGTCAAGCACATTCAAGCCGAAACAGATTATCATCTTGGAACTAATTCGACAATAAATCGTCACATTTCTTCCTAAACAAAAACACGTAACGTTCTGCTGCCACAAAGTCTGGGAGAGCGTTCCAGTCTTAAATACACAAAACTAACGGAGACGAGATGAATAGATTAGTGCGAGATGGAAAAGGTTCCACTTTTTGGGTGTTGTCACATTGGGCCGAAATATCGGTTGCAGGCCTAGAGAACGTTTGTCTTAAAGTAGAGTCAATATAATAAATTCAATGTAAAAACCAGGGTGTCGAACCGGAACCGAACCGAACCGAAAACCGGAACAGAACCGTTATTTTTAGCCGAACCGGAACTGAACCGAACCGAAATCTTCGCCGCCATCTTGGAACTGAACCGGAACCGAACCGAAAAAAAAATATAACGGTAACCGGTTCAAAACGGTTTAAGGTAATTTTTTTTTTCTTTTTTGTTAGTATCACAAAATGAACATATGGGAATAAAAAATTGGCGGCTGTATTTTTATCTATGGATCAAATCGTCATATACAAAATTGAAAAGTATGGTAAGTTGTGGGTTTTCATGGCAATATGATTAACCATGTGTCACGTTGTCACGTGACGTCATGGTGTCAATACATGTTGTCACGTGGCCTCGTGACGTCGCGTGACTCACTGCGTCAACTCGATTCAATTTGGGGAAGTCACTAAATGTATTAACATTGTTGACAGCATGACGTAACATGACATCACGATTTCGCATCGAGAGTCACGTGACACCGTGACGTAAGCAATTTACATAACCCCTGGTCGAGTGCTCGGGTTCGTGACAATGAGCACCGCCAAACATTCGGGTAACGGCTCATGTCAATTACATACGATAATAGCCCAACTCTAACAATATCTGAAGCTCAGCCCAAGCTTTTGCTTTCAAAACCCTAGCCGCCTAGAGCATGACTGTGATGAACACTGGCGGTATCAGATCACGTGGCCGCTTGTTTAAATTGAGAGTTGAGGAGATATCGACAGCTGTCTCTTTTCTTTATTTTTTTCTGCATCTGCTATTAGGGGAAAACTAATCGATGTTTCCGCAAGCTATCAACGTTAGGGGTTATTTCTTAACACTATTTATTGAAAGTACAAGAAAAATTGTTGCAAGACCCATTTTACATTATTGAGCACCCAAATATTCTTTCGTTGTTGCTGAACTGCAACTGAAAGATGTCCCTGAGAATAGAAGTACTAAAATTACTAAATGCGACTTATTAATATGACGTTACATAGAACTACATCTGTGTACGGAAGGAGTACTAAAAAAAAAAAAAGAAGATATTTTAGTGACCTCAGAGAGACAGCCGAACGTCGGCAGTCGCTGTAAGTCTCACTCGAGCGTCGTTCTCAAGGTATTTCCCAAGTTTAGACTCCCTCTGTACTTTGCTTAAAGGAGCTATAAAACTATTTCTATACATCACTAAATACTATTCAGGATCGCTCCCTAACATTAATAACTGCTTGAACTTGGCTTTGCTCTTTTTTCTAGGCAATGGCAGTCGCCAAAAAATTCGAGAAATATGAGCATCGTTCATCCCCTCAATTCGGAGCCAAAAGCGGCCATGTGGCCTGGTGCCTATCTTATGCCGCCAACGTTAATCATACCCCCGCGCTTGGGTTTTAAAGGAAGAAAACGCGTGCTCAGCGGTGGCTCAGCTCCAGGCATTGTTAGAGTTCGGCTATTCTCATCACCGCACTGGCTGGACACGAACCACTACCCAAGTGCCTGCCAAGACATTGATTGTTACGAGCCGATGTACGGTGCTCACGCAGTCCTCCTGTCCAATTCATGAGCCGCGCTCAACTGTCGTCAGGCAGGTGGTTTTGATCCTACAATTGCGACATCAATCTTTGGGAAGGCAAGACTAAAAGACATACGGTAGTCTCATTTGATCCTCGCAATTTCACCGCGACAAAGCAGCTTCTGAATTAGTGGCGGCCTGTGCGAGTAAACTTGGGCCAGACTAGGATCAATACGCCTCAGAAAAATCATGAACATTCCAAC